TGATATATTATATTTGATATATTATATATAGAATATATCATGTCAGACTACTGCTAAAATAATTTTAAATGAGTGTTATCAATCTGCATAAGTTTGTTATTTGTATCTTAAAAATATAAAAGAAAAGCATACAGTCTCTATGAAAATGTAGCTAGAATAAAGACAAACTTCTATAAATGTTTTCTTTCCCTACTCCCATTTTAACTTATTTTCCAGTGATTTATAGTCAGAGTTGGAGTATAAAATCAGGTGTGGAGTGTTAATTGCCTGATGCTAAATTACAATCCCAAATGCTTTTTAACCTATAAGTACCAGATTCTTGAAACTATAGCTGAACCAGAAGCATGGCATACAGGGAGAGTCCTGGAGAATGCCAAGTATGACAGGGAGGCAGGCCCAACGGAATATAGCAAATCATAACAAGAAACCCAGCAAAGGAATGAGCTGCCTGCCAGATCATTACAGTCATCACAACACTTCCAGGCCTTGCATCACCTACTGAGATACTTGCTAACATTTCAAACAGAGATAGCATTATCACAGTATCACTTTATCTTAGGACCACCCAAAATCTCTTGAGAACTGAAATAGAAACTTTTAACTTAGTAATCCCACCTCTATCACAGAAAAAAAGTGAATTAACAATAAGGGAAACTGACATTGTCATTTGCAAACTGTGTGGGATTAAGGGAACTAAATATGTGCACTAGTATTGACTCCTATGATCTGTAGGAAGGAGAACAGCTCTCTAGAAAACTTCTGAGTGACAGGAGGTGCAGGAAAACATTTTATACTATATTTCTCAAAAGGCAAGAGCTGAAATGACTTTAAAAAAATTATTTTCTTCAAGTTTGTTAACTAAATGAAGGTCTGCATCCCTTTTATAAAATACAGTGGCACAATCTTATTCCAGAGCCTCTAGAGGGGATAGGTCTGTCCTGAGTCCCATATTGAAACAATTTGTTCATGAATGTTTAGTTATAGATTTCATATTTATACCCAGAAAAGCAGAACAGTATTCCCATGTTACAAAATATGTTGGGTATAATTTATAGTCTAGCATATGCTATATTCTACTCAGGCCGAAAGAGAAAATATCAGATGCTTCTAACATGTGTTATTTGCCAGATTATATTCCCTTCCTTACTTAGTGAAACGCAGTCATCTAAGACAAAAATCTGGAAGTCCTCCCATTTTCTTGCCTCTCTTTCATCATTCATTTTACATAGATCATAAAGTTCTGTCTATTTCCCTCCTTAGCATCTTTAAAACCTTTTCTCTCTTCTGCATCCTCACTGCTCACAATTGCATCAGTTTCTCCTTTTGACCACTGAGGAGCCCCTTAAGCCTTCATCCCGCCTCCTTTCTTTTTCCCATCCCTTTCACCCTCTACAATCTAGCCAGCAGAAAAGCTCGAGATCAGTACTATTATTTTATTCCCTTCTGGGTGCAGACTTTATAACCTGGTTCTGTCTGACTCAATTTTCATTACAGTCTCCCCACCCTGTGTACCCTGCATGCTACGTACTAAAATATCTACCATCCGACCAAACATACACCCTGTTCTCTCACACTTTGCTATTCCCTCTGTAATGCCCTCACCTCCATTATTCATCCTCACTTTCCAACTATAGCTTATCCTTCAAAACTCTGCAGATATGTCTCCTATATAAAATATTTTGTTCCTTTTCTCCTGAATTCACTCCCTTCCCCATGTTCTCCCAAACCCCTATATGCCTTTATTTACCTTAGCATTTAAATGCCTGTCCACCAAGGGCCATGTGAAAGCAGGGTCTACTCACCTATGGGTGGGTGCCCATGGCCCACTGAATACAACCCTGAGCAGACACACTATAATTAACATCTGCAAAATTGAACTGAATAAACCAAGTTGAATATTTATCAAAACTATTCTTAAGTAACCTCTACTAACAGAAACAAAGAAGGATAGACAAAAAATAATTAGGAGACTGACACTACAAGTAATTGAAAGTTCATCTTTTGATATTTTGATACCCATGAACCAATTAATCTGAACTATATACAAAACCCAGAATGTCCATACAATAAACAGAACTGTGCTAGACAAATGGCTATACAATACAAATATAAGGTCCTTTTAAGGTAAACATGTCTAATTTATTGACTGTTCTTCAGAAATTATCATTGTTACTAGTAATATGTAACCTAAATCTTAGACCTAAATTCATGCAGAATGCCTGAAATAATAATAACAGGGTGCCTGAAAGCCTAGACCATTTTCTTCAGCCTAGAAGAGTCTGGGGTGGAAGAGGCCAAAAAGAACTAAAACTCTCGTCCCAAAATTTAAACCCAGGTGCATTAATCCACAGGAAAGCTATGATCTACTCCCCTGCTCCAGCTAATCCTTTAATCCAAGATTTCCTGAAATCTCTGAGATTATCCATTTATCTGATGAGTGTCTGGTATTTTTTAAAATACTGCCAAAAGCAATGCTTTCCAGACTTGCTCCGTTATAAATAAGTGGACATAGAATGGGCTTTTTTTCTCATTAATTTGGTGTTCGGGGTCTTGAGTATCTTTTTAGTACTTTCCCTTATATGCTATACACAAATTACACACATGGAGGCATTGCAAAGTTTTAAATTTTTGACTATCTCAACCATTTGCTACTTGTCAATTCCTTCTGCTTTCCTTCCTCACTCACCTTTGAGGTCCTGTTTTCCTTCTTTGTTTCAGAAGACAGAATTCACTGAAGGAGTCCTCTCATGCATGTACACTACTGTACACAAATACTCTAGAAGTTCTTTGCAGCCTGAATGTCCCAAAATATTTTTCAATTTTGTATAATTCATATTTTGTGGACTTTTTAACTAAACTAACACCTGAGAGCATTCATTCATATCAATCAATATTAATAAATATTGATTAAAACCAGTAATTTTTCCTTTGATGTTCACTAATTCTTTCAGAATTTAATAACTCTCCCCAGAATGCATGCTCATACACATAAAAATATTACCTCCATTAATTTCAAGTGCTTTGAGGACCCTCTAGAGTTTAACCACACTGTGTCTGGAACTGCTTCCCAAAGTTTTGACATTCTTTATCCACTTAATGGGTTTTCATTCTCATGCAGAAAAAAATCCATAATACAGAAAAATTAAAATAGCACCCACTTTGACATTATATTGTTAGTAATTGTTTTCTATCTGTGAGACAGCAGCAAAGCATTTGGTGTCTTTGTCAGATAATTTGCATGATTGGATAGACATGTGCCCAGGAGTAATAGAATAATGGCTTACTAAAAGTATGTTTAAAGTTCCATTAGTTGATAAATGGATGACTATTTCCTTCTCAAATGCTGGAAGGTTGGCTGTCATAATTTGAGATAGGTACAGACTTCTTAACTACTCTCTGGAAAACTATTTGACTCTAGAAAACTATTACTTCATATTCTGTAACAACATTTGGATCTACTTCTAAATTATGACCAGGCATATGATCTCAATTTATCTTTTAGATGAGTGAAGAAATTTGTAAATTCTTGGGCATGTGCCTCTAGCAGAAGCTGTAACATTCACTGTATATGCGCACCAATTATTCTCGTACATTTCCCAGCCTCCCTGCAGTTAAGTAGAACCATGTGACTCGTTTTGGCCAATAAAATAAAGATGATGTTGGCATACATCTATTCCAAGTTGAGGCAATATGAAACCTGCGTGTGGGTATCCAGATTCTCTCCTTCTCTGTTATAGTGACTGAGAGGTTGTGTACTTCAGATGAAGCAACTAGAGGATGGAAGAACTTGTTCTTTTTTAATATATTTTATTGATTATGCTATTACAGTTGTCCCATTTTCCCATCTTTATTCCCCTCTGCCCTGCACACTCCCTCCCACCCATATCCACCCCCCACACCAGTTCATGTCCATGGGTCGTATGTATAAGTTCTTTGGCTTCTACATTTTCTATACTATTCTTAACCTTCCCCTGTCTATTTTGTATCTACCATTTATGCTACGTATTCCCTGTACCCTTTCCCCCATGCCCCCTGCCTGCTGATAACCCTCCATATGATCTACATTTCTGTGATTCTGTTCCAGTTTTAGTTGTTTGCTTCGTTTGTTTTTGTTGGTTTTTTTTTTTTTTAGGTTAGGTTGTTGATAGCTGTAAGTTTGTTGTCATTTTACAGTTTACATTTTTTATCTTTTTCATTTTCTTAGGATAAGTCCCTTTAACATTTCATATAATAAGATCTTGGTCAAATTTGATTCTTTGTGGAGCCATCACTGCCCCACAATGGTTAGAGGTGAGAGTAATAAATAAATCTTCACAATTTTAAGCCACTGAAGTTTCAAGGAAACCTTTACATTGAAACACAGCTTTAACTTAGTCTAACAGAGTTATGATTGTAGCTGCTGGAACATTTGCACCCAAGTCCAATCTATTTTAGTGATCTTGAAGTCCTCAGCCTTCACAAATCATAGTATTTTAAATTATTGAAAATATCTTGCTTTATATGTGACCATTGGAAATCTTGGACACATTATATTACTTGTTATGTCATTTTAAAATCTTTTAAATTTTCCTCATTTCAAAAAGTTGTGTACCTTTTTCCCTTCAACAGCAGGCATGTTTCAATGTGAAAAGCAGAATCATCTTGTAGTTGCAACAAGTGTCATGATACTGCATGTTGAAAAGACATGTCTGGTGACCAGATTCTGACTAGATTCTCAGTTTTGTGCTTCTCTTATACCACTGAATCAGGATCCTGAGGAAAATTGTTGCCATCAGTAGCTAAACAATATATAGATCGGAGTTTATGTTATACAGCAGAATCTCTGTGACTAGAAGTCTACTCAAATATTTTCTTTCCTTCATGTACACCAGACTTGAGACTGGAAAGTGGCTGGCCATCCAGGCCTCACATTTCTCAAACTCCATGTTATTTATTAAGTGTAACCCTATCATTGAGTTCCAACCCCTACGGTAGGAATGAAAAGGATGAGTGTCACTTACAGGTCCGGCCCACAAAATTCTCCAGCATGGTGCTCCTTGGTATCTTTATCAGTTACTGGCATGCAGAAGACCTCCGGAGTAACCTTGAAGAGGACAAAGTCTCTGTAAGCTTTGGTCCTTGAAGAATTATTCAAACAGGGATACCCCCAATATTTTTACTTATCCAATATAGTTAGTGATCGAGGAAAATCTATTATAACCTATTACATTAAATATTAAAGTATTTAGGTATATTTGTTATAGAAGTTAACCATTTCTAGCTAGTACAGATAAAATCACTTCTGTTCAAATGGCAATTGCATTCCTGACGAATACATAAATAGTGCCCAGAAGATAATTGGCTTACACCTTTTCAAATGTGTATTAAAGAGCACAATATATATTTTAAACTATTTTTAAAATTATCCTGAACCATGAGTTTCCATTGTTGAATAAAACAAAAAACTCAGAAGTACCACTCTTTCATATAGGCATCAACCTATTTTCAGAAGCAATTCATATTTAGTATATTATCATGCTTGTCTATTTCATATTATCACTAGTTTTCTGTTACTACTATTGGCTCAATTTTCTAAATTGTGGCACTTCACACACTATTTCCATGATGATGGTGATGATAATTACACTTTAATTATTTAGTGGTAAGTAGTACTTAGGGCACCAGAAACACAAAGATAGGCAGGTCATCTGGATTTGCTCATAGTCTAGCCCAACAATTCTTAAATGTCTTTCCACACACACCTAGAAACGTTACTGATTTTTATGTGAAGAAAATGCTACTGGCCAAGTGAATTTAGGATGCTACTATATAAGAGCATCAGCTCTGGAGCCAGATTACAGACTCAATCCTGTGCAACTCTATGACTTTGAAAAAGCTGTTTAACCTCTCTATTCTTGTTTCTTTACTTGTGGAGATAAAATTGTACTCCTTACTTTATGTATAAAATCAAATGTAAAGTGATTAGCACATTGCTTGATTCATAGAAAGAGCTAAATATAAATAGGATTGTTTTTCTCTTTTCACTTATATCTTGGAGACTTGCCACATACAATAGCCTAGTATATTGTAGTATATTGCACTGATATCTGAGATATCGTGCAATAAGCCAAATCAAACATAAGAACAACAACAACAAAGACTCTGCTTACCAGGGTGAAGATGATGACAGACAGATGATTGACAGAGAGAGAGTATGTGTGTGTTCTGGGGGAAGACTATGTTCTTTATCATTACAGCTATTGTGTACATGTATCTATATTTAGTTATTTGGGAAAGTCTCTACTTTTCTTATCATTACACTTATTAACATTCAACAGCACAATTTTCCATTAATAAAAGTGGTATGCACTAGTCAGTTTAGATATCAGAAGAGCACCTGCTCAACACAGAAACAGTCTTCAAGAAGAAAATGTCTTCTTGGCTAACTATATCTTGGAATATTCTCCTTCACTTAAGACTGTAAGTTAGTTGGGTACTTAGTAAAAATTTAGTTAACAACCTATATTATGTTCATTTCTGCTTCATCAGAGAACTTCCTTCACAGATCGAACTTTCCCTTGTATATTAACCTACACTCCCAACATGAGTTTGTCAGGATTGCCCAGATTTGACATTTCTGTCACTTTCACCTAGTCTGCTCCTTCCTGATAAGGGCCACCAGAATGCCTCGCTGTTTAAGATCCTTTGAGAGTACATTTCATGACACATATCTCTACACTTTCTAATTTTCTTTTGCAAATTTCCTGGACAAATTGGCAAGATGAATTTTTTTTACGTCAAGTAATATATTTAAGTCTAGCAGAGTGCTGGACCTAGAGTAGACACTCAATAAATGATTGTTTTTTGCTATTTTTAGCCCCCTCATGTACATGTTAATGGACACTATACAGTAATTTCATGATTATAGGAAGTCCATATAAAATAGGTTTGGCTGATTAAAAATTCCAGAGTTCAACATTAACTGCCTTTATACACCAATATTTTTATTGTATAAATTTTTTATTTATTACTCAATTGAAAAAACAGTTGAAATATATATTTACTTCATTTCAATTTTACTTAAATCATGTTTAACATCTTGTATAATTATTATAAACATCAGTTATTACAGTATAACATTTGCAGGAAATGACTAAAGGACAGTAGTTTGCTCCTGAACTAAAAGAACCTAAATTACTCTTCTATGGTTCTTTTTATTGTTATTGCTTCTTTTGTTGTTATTGTTTGGTTTGGTTTATAAGAGAATTACACCTAACTTGTTTTTTGATTTGTATGTCCTTGTACTCTTTCTAAGATCTTCATTATTTTTAGCATACCTGGCCACACCAGTTCTTATTTCCACTTCAATATTATTTCTAAATTTTTACTACCTTGGAATATAAATAACCAAGTTATTAAACTTGAGGTTAAAATGTACATGAATTAGGTATGAGTGCAGGTCAGAAATATTCCTCTTACAAAGTACTTTGGGTGCATAAAACCTGAGGGGTTTTTGTTAATGAATGGATTCCTGTGGAGCTTTAGAAAATGATGTTTCTAGAGATGTGAATTTGGGGTATTATTATTATTATACAATATTAATGAAACAAAAACACTAAAGAGCAGAAACTTGCAAAGGTAGAGTTATTAAAATGGGAGATATTATATATTTGTTTACATAATGTTATTTTATAGCTAAAATACTGTGGGTACTAAATCAGATGAGTTTACTTCTATAATTCAAAATTTTTTCTGCAAAGTGTTAAGTAACATTATCATTTAGAAATCATATTCTATTTATGGAACACAAACCATGAAAATGTGCCTTGAATTTTTTTGAAAATATCTATTTCTTATTTTAGTTCCTTTTCAGAGAAGTTTTATCAATGAACAAAAGCAGTTTTGCTCTCTAATATGCATAAAGCAATTTCCTTTGAACATAAAATTTTCTAATATAAAGCAGTAGGACATAAAACATAAAATAGAGTTACTTTGTAACATTTTTATATATATTTACATACCAAAATATATGGTAATTAATGTTGATTATAACTATTTTGGTTTGTAAATAAAAACATGAGTCAATGGAATCAAGCTATTAAAAATGTCCCCAAAAGTATGTAACAAACCAATGGAATATAGTCAATAATTTCTAAGATGACCAAATTTAAAGTCTGCCTGATTCCAAATTCATTACACCTATCTAGAGGGAACCACACATTGATGTTTCTCTCCCTCTTTGCTCCCTCTCTTCCCCCTCTAAAAATAAATAAATAAAATCTTTAAAAACAACATTTTCATCAACCTGAGGGAAGAGCTAGTTAATACATATTGGCCCATCCCAAGTGTTTTGCAGGCAAAAAATTTTACTCTATCCAAAAGGGGTCAGAGATTTTTTTGAACTAAATTTTCTTCATACTTAGAGACCAGTATTACAATTCATCCACTTTAAAGCATGGCCAAATTGGTAAATTACTTGTGATAAGATAATGTTAAGAAAGAGCTTACATTTTCCTTACAAATTTGTATTTTAATAGCAAAGTGACTGTCTTGAAAAAAATTAAAGACAACCTAAACATAGAGAAATTGTCTTACAATTTTCCTGTGATCAAGTAAATGAGAGAAATTGTTGTCTCCCTCACTATTGTGAGCCAAATAAGTTCATGTATCCTTGTTATACCAGATGTGAAAAAGGAAGTTCTATATATAATTCTCCAAGATATAGATGAGAATAAGAATGTGAGAGATATATACTTATGTAATGATAAATTTGGCACATTATATATGATTAATGGCACATTTCCACAAGTGCAAAAAGCAAGGGCCCCTTAGCCACAAACAAATTGCTAATGTGTTTCACTTTAGTTCAATATTTAATTTAATTACCTTCAACTCATCATCAATTTAAAACATATGTAAATATTTCCTGTTATAATTTAATGAAACATCTCTAGGTTTATATAATCTTTTGAGTATTTAGTAATCATTCAAGAGAAAATATTTTGCTAAAAAAGGATTGTGATTTAGTCCCTGATGCTACCAGTTTCAGAAATGTCACTTTTGCTTTATTCATAGCAAGACGTATCCAGTGTTAAGTTTCAAAACTATTGCTTTATTTGGAGAAGGTGGCTTTATAGCAATCAAAAACATGTTGGATTATGCAGCAGATATATCAAAACTTTAGTTATAGCCTTGATTTTAAACATCCATAAGTGAAGGGCTATCATTTTTTTTCAATAAGGCAACAAATATAGTTTAGTTTTCATGTTGTAGGTTTGTAGAAGTATTGTTCTGGAATAGCAGTGTGCAAATACAACATAATGCAAATATTGAATATAATGTGCATTATTGTCTATTCTTGTATAACACTAACATAAACATCTATCAAACACTATCTCTAGAACAGATACAATGTTAAAGGCTACAAAAACAGACAAATAAAACTCATAATCTTTCTAAGAAATAGCTGTGTAAGCATCAACATGTAACATGGTACAACTGGTTCTTGTTGTCTTCTATAAAGTTGCCAGGAACAGTGAATTAGCAAAGGAAAACAGCCGATTCACAGTAAGAATAGTGAATTTTGTGGAAATTTAACTTATCCCACTCTTCTCCTTTTTCAGCTCAGAAAAACAATAGTCTGCATTCCCAATATTGGTGGGAGAATGGATCTCATTCATACGAAATTGTAATTATTTTGATCTGTGTAGTAGCTCCCTAGAGGATCAACTCAAAACACTTGTCTTCATTTTGCCTAATTTGAAACTGACTCAGTGCCAAGTTGCATCCTGAGTACACTGATCAAAAACAACTGTAGGATGATATGTTAGTTGCTGCTACCTAAGGCCATGGATCATAGCTGGGGCTGCCATGGACTATTATGGACTAGCCAAGAAGCTATGAAGGAAAAACTAGGGAATGAGATATGGTAGGGACTTTGAAATGTCCCTAACTTATTTTTGGAAATACAGAAGGCCACACACATGGTTAGGCATATTTGCATGCTTAGTAAAGACCTGAGAAGATCCTAATCTATCACTTCTTGCTGACCTTGAAGGCCTGTAGAAACAGGAAGTAAAAGCTAAGGCAGAGTTTTTAATGGTC